GATTCTATGATTCTATGATTCTATGATACGCTGGAGGGTAGGAATAGCATACAGAGGGACCTAGACAAATTAGAGGATTGGGCCAAAAGAAACCTGATGAGGTTCAACAAGGACAAGTGCAGAGTCCTGCACTTAGGATGGAAGAATCCCATGCACTGTTACAGACTAGGGACCAAGTGGGTAGGCAGCAGTTCTGTAGAAAAGGACCTAGGGGTTACAGTGGACGAGAAGCTGGATATGACTCGACAGTGTGCCCTCGTTGCCAAGAAGGCCAACGGCATTTTGGTCTGTATAAGTAGGGGCATTGCCAGCAGATCGAGGAACGTGATCATTCCCCTCTATTCGACATTGGTGAGGCCTTATCTAGAATACTGTGTCCAGTTTTGGGCCCCACACTACAAGAAGGATGTGGAAAAATTGGAAAGAGTCCAGCGGAGGGCAACAAAAATGATTAGGGGTCTGGGGCACATGACTTATGAGGAGAGGCTGAGGGAACTGGGATTGTTTAGTCTGCAGAAGAGAAGAGTGAGGGGGGATTTGATAGCAGCCTTCAACTACCTGAAGGGGGGGTCCCAAAGAGGATGGAGCTTGGCTGTTCTCAGTGGTGGCAGATGACAGAACAAGGAGTAATGGTCTCAAGTTGCAGTGGGGGAGGTTTAGGTTGGATATTAGGAAACACTTTTTCACTAGGAGGGTGGTGAAGCACTGGAATGCGTTACCTAGGGAGGTGGTGGAGTCTCCTTCCTTGGAGGTTTTTAAGGCCCGGCTTGATAAAGCCCTGGCTGGGATGATTTAGTTGGGAATTGGTCCTGCTTTGAGCAGGGGGTTGGACTAGATACCTCCTGAGGTCCTTTCCAACCCTGATATTCTATGATTCTATGAATGGTTCACTGTCAAACTGGGAAGGTGTATCTAGTGGGGTCCCACTGGTCCTGGGTCTGGTACTACTCAATATTTTCATAAATGGCCTGGATAATGGAGTGGAAAGTACATTTATAAAGTTTGTAAATGACACCACGCCGGGAGGGGTTGGAAGCACTAGGAGGACAGGGTTAAAATTCAAAACAACCTTGACAAATTGGAGAACTGCTCTGAATCCAACAAGATGAAATTCAGTAAAGACAAGGCAAAATATTTCAAAGGGGAAGGAAAAATCAAATGCAGAGCTACACACTGGGGAATAACTGGCTAGGGGCAGTGCTGCTAAAATGGACCTGGGGGTTACAGTGGATCACAAATTCCATATGAGACAACAACATTCTTGTGGCAGAATGTGCCCTGTGTCCATAGGCGCCGACTCTGGGGGTGCTCCAGGGCTCAAGCACCCACGGCAAAAAAATAGGGGGTGCTAAGCTCCGAAGAGCCAGAGCCTGAGTGTGGAATGTGATGAGTTCTGTGCTGCTACCAACGTCTGCCCTTGGGGCCGGGAGTTTGTGTATAAACAGAGAATCATAGAATATCAGGGTTGGAAGGGACCTCAGGAGGTATCTAGTCCCAGCCCCTGCTCAAAGCAGGACCAATTCCCAACTAAATCATCCCAGCCAGGGCTTTGTCAAGCCGGGCCTTAAAAACCCCTAACAGAGGGAGAGTGATTAAGATAATGAAAGGCTTGTCATTAAATTAAATTAAAGATTGTGAGATGATCCTGAAAGCATTGCCAGGCAGTCCAGTTAAAAGACAGGAAACAAAGGGTAGGAATAAATGGTCCATTTTCAGAATGGAGAGAGGTAAATGGTGGTGTACCCCAGGGGTCTGTACTGGGACCAGTCCTATGCAACATAGTCATAAATGATCTGGAAAAAGGAGTAAACAGTGAGGTGGCAAAATTTGCAGTTTCTTTTCAGGAAAGTTGTGCGCAAGTTGGAAAGAGTTCAGAGGGGAGCAACAAAACGATAAAAGGTTTAGAAAACCTGACCTGTGAGGAGGGTTAAAGTACTAGGCATGGCTACGCTTGAGAAAAGGAGACTGAATGGGACCTGATAACAGTCTTCAGATATGCGAAGGGCTGTTCTAAAGAGGACAGGGATCAAGTATTCTCCATGGCCACTGGAGGTAGGACAGGAAGTGATGGAC